CTTTTGGAGAGTGTTCACCAGTCACCCTATCAGTCCTTGCCAAAGCCAGATAAAGAAGCCAATCAGTCATATTTAATCAGGAGTGACTGATTCAGAAATATTAGCAGTCAGGCTTTAAAAATGAATGTGTACGTGTGTGTATGTGTGTGTATATATATATATGTGTGTGTGTGTGTGTATGTGTATGTGTATGTATACATAAATACATGTATGTACGTATGTATATGTGTGTGTACATATACATTGCTGATCATGAAGCTTTTCTGAAAATGCTATAAATGATGTGATGGAAAAATTATTTGAACAACTGAAAAAATTGAGAATTATGGCTGTTGGTATTTATATGATTTAGAATGTCATATCACCATAAGGGTAAGGCATAGATTTCGAGCTGAATGGAACCTGGAGGCCATGGAGTTCAACCTTCTCATTTTGCAAATTTGGGGCAACCAGGTAGCACAATGGATAGAGTGCTGGACCTAGAAAGACCCAAATTTGATCTGGGCCCAGACACTTAGTAGCTGTGTGAGCCTCTTAACCTCTGTTTGCCTCAGTTTCCTCACCTATAAAATGGAAATAATGATAACTCCTATCCCACAGAGTTGTTGTGAGGATCCCATGAGATAATAATCATAAAGTGCTTAGCACAGTGCCTGGCACATAGTAGGTGCTATATAAATGTTGTGTTGTTGTTGTTGTCGTTATTGTTATTATTATCATTGCAAGTGAGGAACTAAGATTCAGAGAGGTTAAGTAATCTGCCTGAAGTTATATAGGTAGTAAGTGGCAAGTTCTGGGCTTCTTTATATCTCCGACAGACTCTAATGTGACAATGCTTTCTTGGTGAATAGTAAGAACTACTAGGCTATCTGCTAACTGTTTTTTATCCCTAGTGATGAAGCAGGCAGGTTACTGGATTTAATCCACCCAACCTCAATGCTATTAAATCAACATCTTTAATGATCAACTGTGATTACTGATTAATGATCATCCCCTTGTTCAGAGGTCTTCAGTCAGTCAATAAACATTTAAGAGCCTGCTATGTGGCAGGCAGAGGGGTAGGGGAAGAGGAGAAACGTGGGGTGTTTGAGAGTGATGAAAAGGTTTAGAGGAGCCACCGTGCTGAGTGAATTAATAGTGAATATACGAAAGGATTGCCTTGCAGCATTGAGGGCCCATTTGAGGTTACATAGGATAAATTTGTAGTGGACCCAGTCATAATAGTTTCACGATTTTCTCCAGCTTTGTTCAGAAGTACATGTAAAGGAACAAAAATAGGTGGTGGGAGTAATCCAAGGCTGAGGCTTGGCAGGGTAAGATCAGTGACATGATAATGGGGCAAAGAACTCAAGAGAAGATAGGGTCTAACTGACATGGTCATGATGGGGAGAGTGTAACTAATGCAGGAGTGATAGCCTGGGAAAGAACAAAGGGATTGAGTGATTAGAGGTGATGGGTTGATAAAGAATACAGTTTGGGTTTGGAAGGCAGAGGGAGATGTGAATGAAAAGAGATTATGATCAGATAGGAAAATTTCAGAGATCATGAACATGGAAGTGGTATAATTTTGTATGATGGCAAAACACACATCTTTGTGTGCATTTGAAATGGGGTAAAGGAATAGATAATATAAAGTGAACAAGTTGAGGAAATGTGAAATTTGGGCTTTTAAGGGAGTATCATTCATTATATATGTTGAAGTCTCCCAGTATGAGGGCAGGAATTGGGAAGGAGAGAAGGATTCTGAGAAAGGCACTGAACTCATTAAGGAAAGAAAAGAAGGGTCCTGGAGGTTGGCAGACAACAGCTACCAGAATTTTAAATGGGTGGTAGATATGAACTGAGTAAACCTCAATGGAGATTAGGTTATTGTGTGATGGTGGTGAGGAATGGATTCCCAATAAACCCACTCAGCATTTTAACCTCACCACAAATGTTGCCCCAATCTAATTTTCCAGCCTTATTTCTAAGCCTTCTAAACATCTGGAATACCTTCATCTCTTACCTTTCACTCAGGAAATCCTGTAGCTTCCTATCCTTTCAGGCAAAGCAGAGGCCATCTGTTCTGTTATTCCCCCAAAGGGAGGTGTTCTCCATCCTCTGAATTCTCCTAGTCTCACAACAACCCTGTTTGGTGGGGGCTATTATAACTCCCATTTTATAGATAAGAAAATTGACTTGTACATGGAACATCCTGTTTCGAACTATCTTTTCTGTGTGCATTTTGTGTCCCCTATTGAGCTGTGGGGCAGCCAGATGGTACAGTGGATAGAGCACCTGGACTGGAGTCAGGAAGACCTGAATTCAAATCTGGCCTCAGACATTTACTAGTAGAGTGACCCTGGACAAGTCACTTAGCCCTGTTTGGCTGCCTGGTCCAACAACTTCCAGAAAACCCCAAGCAAGCTATATACAGGATAAATAGGAAATAATTAAAGAGTGAAAGCACTAGAATCAAGAAGGTAACTCAAAAAAAATTTTTTTAATTAAAAAAGAAGGTGATTGAGTAGATAAAGCACCAGAGAAGACCTGAGTTCAGATATGACCTTAGACATTAGCTGTGTGACCCTGGGCAAGTCACTTAACTTCTCAATGCCTAGGCAGTTTTTTAAGACTGTAAGTTAGAAAGAAGGTGCCAACCTCCATTGGTGGAGGGAATATATTCATCCAGGAGGACCCTCTACCAATGAAATCATCAGGTCCGGTCCTTATCCTTATCTCCAATTAGTAGCTCTCTGCTACTAATTAGGATAAGATTATTCCTAGAGAATATTTTAATTACATTGTCTTCCATTTTGCCAGAGTCCATTTTCCTCTGATTGTAAGGGCACCTAGACATCTGATATAGACATGCTCTAAGAGGAAAAATGTGGTACATATATATATAAAATGTGTGTGTGTATATATATATATATA